ATATGCTCATTTCTTTTCTTGAATAATGTATTTGCAATAACAAATCATACGTTAAAGCAAAATTTAATATGACTTTACCTTCTTCATTAATCTCTCCAAAACCATAGTCACCATGAATATTTCTAAAATCTTCTACCACTCTAACGAAATGTTCATTTAAATCTCCTCCAATAAAAAATCTTACTTCAAGAGGTATCATTTGTATTAAGTCTTTTAGGTCATTATATAATTTATCTTTAGAACCTATATCTAAACCTACTTGAGGAGCATAAACACTTCTAATATTAAAAATTTTAGTTTCAACAATAATATTAAGGCTATAATTCTATTTTCAATTCTATTATTTTTTATAATATTATCTTTCAAACTTTTATCTATAATCACACATACATTATTTCTAGTGTGACTCTTACCTGAATACTAAAGTTTAAAATCTAAGTCATCAATCTCATTAGTCTTTTCTCCAATCTATTTAGTTTCTTGAATACATAAGATATTTATCTTTCTATGATAATTATATCAACAATTCCATTAATTTACCTGTGAGAGTATATTATCCTAATATTAGTTTTATGTACTAACTTTTTTTACCAACATCCGTTCGTAATTTGGGAACTCTTGTTTATTTAACATTACACTCTAGCGTCAGTGTAGCGACCATTGCACATATTTCATTGTATTCAGGTCATACAGCGCGTTGCTTCAGGGGAACGTCCTAGCATTTACATAATGATCAAAATGACTTATGTCATGATTTTTCGACAAATTTTATGTTGGTTGTCAAATACCTAACACAACTCACCACTTTTTATATCCGGGGCATGGGATCCAACAATGACATTGTTTAATTTTTATAATTTTTTAAAAAAAAATACTAAGTGCACATCATTCCTACAATATGAAATTCAATAGAATTATAAATCATGAGTTTGTAGTAATTTCAATATAACTAGTGAGAGTAGTTAAAAAATCGATTTAGGAAGTAAAATATTACCAGACTATAAGAATATGAGTATTCATCTCAAAGCTGTATAACTCGTCTTAAATATTCAAAGACGCTTCCCAGGCAATTGTGATTGTTAGATCACTAATCGTTGTATCAATTATATAATATCGGCCAGGGCTTATTAGATAAGACTTAACACCCAGACAATTGTGATGTTTAGATTGATAACTGTTGTGTTGACGGGATAATATCGGTCAGGGGCAGGTAGAGACATTTCACCTTAGACAATTGTGACGTGTAAATCACTGACCGCTTTGCCGACGGGAGCAAACATGACAATATCGACCAAGGGTGTGTTGGGTTTTATTGATGGTGATTCTTAAACAGACAGATGTGTATGTTAAGAGTATAAAATATTAACAAAGTCAAAGTTAATGCATATATAAGTTTAGAATATTTTTTATGGAGTAAAGGTCATTGATACATACAATATTATATTATAAGATTCATATAGAAATATGTAGAACCAACATGGTAAAAGATTCTTTATAGAAATATAAAAGACCCGCATGAATATTAAATTCTTTCTCTTGGGTTACTGCAGTTTAGAAGTATGATTGTTTTTTGGTTATCTTTATTTAGATAACTCATTATGTTACTTTATTTTTTTTTTTGGTTTAAGTTTTTGATTAAAATGAATATAAGAGATAATGTGTTCAAGTGGCGAGAACAATTGAAAATATATAAATTTTCTACTTATTAATTTTATTTGCTTTTCTTTAGTGGTTATTTCTTGAAATTTTTTAATATTAAATTATTAGTGATAGAAATAGAAAAATTGAGAATTTATTTTCGTCGTTTGACTTCCGTTCCTTTCTTGATTAACTCCATGCCCCGGGTCGGGTTGTGACAAGAAATGTAGCTTATGACATTATTTTTTCATCCAGAAAGGCCAAACTATCTAATATCTTCTCGATTTGCATCAGCCAATTTTCTGATTCAATTGAATGTTCGATTCTCTTAAGTAATGATGGACATAAATCTTGGAATTTCTTTAGATATTTATCCAGAGCAAATGTATCACTTCCAAAAAGCTACAATTTGGACTCTTAAATTGGTCGATTCATGACCACCATCATCTGTTTTGAGACATTCGTGTTCACATTTATTGTAGGCTGCACTTTATCATTTTCTATCATACTCTTCTTTTCTATAATTTTGGGTTTATCTCTATGTCTGAATGGATATAATTATTAATTTGATTTAAGTTAAATTTTTAATTTTATTATTATTAATTTTTTTTACAATTACTTTATTGTCTCTTTTATTAATATTATATTAATTAATCCTAAATCTTGTTGTTGATACTACTTTTGTCATGACCTGACCCAAGATTTTGAATTAACCAAGACGGCTGCAGATGATCAGACGATGAGAACTAAATTTTCTATATTTATTTTTTATGACTAATATTTAACAAATGAAAGAGTCACTAAAGAATTAAATGAAAACAATATAATTAATTTTTTTTTTACAAATTGTTCACATTTTTTATAAACATTCACTCTTCTATTGCTTATCTTTTAATAAATTAATTACACCTGAATGTTAGTTTAAAATAACTGTGAACTATCCAAAAACAGTGTATACTCATGTTTTTAAACTACAGTAATACAATAAAAAAAGAAAATAATATGCATGTTAGTTAAGATTTTAATAAATTAGTTTAAAACTTTGGATATTTGAAGAATATGATCATTTACGATAATTCATACCATTCAATGAGTTTTACTATGTCATTAGTATATTTATATTATTCTATATTTGTACATTCGTCATAGAAGTACCGTCTAAAAATTATACCAATTAAGGTATTTTAATATCAATAACATTTTTTATTTATGTGCATGGATACGTTAATGTTCTCAAATAGTATCATAAAAGAGTGACTCCGTCATAGCCAATCATTCACATGCTTACATATTGTGAAAATCACTATTTAATAATGATTATTTCATTCTCATTTGCATATCAGTCAATATACTTGTATAACATTCAATATTAATGATTTTTTTTAAATGCTAAGTACATGAACAAAAAATTAATAAAATCAAAATGTGAGTTTGCAGTGATTTCAATATAGTTAGTGACAGTGACAGTAACAGTAACCAAATTTGGTCAAGAAGAAACAAAATAATATCATAGCATATGAATATGATTACTTACCTGAAAACCGTATGACTTGTCTTGAAGTCTTAAAGACACTTAATCTTGTTTCTAATAGTTAGCTACCTACATTATCGTGAAAATATAATTTTAAGTATATCATTAATTTTCTTTTATTTATTTATGTTACTTAAATTGTTGATTAAAAGCTTTTATTTTAAGTATTCATGTTATTTTAATTTGATCAACAAAATTAATATTATATTAACATTTATAATTAATTTTCACTCTAATTTAACATAATTATTAGTAGGCTTTACTTTCATATTTTTGTTATTATAATATTTAATGATATTATTATATATAAACAAATTAATAATCTATTTTATTAATATCTAAACCTTTATAAATCACCGTAAGTTTTGGCCGGCACACAATATTCTCTTCGCTTTCTTTTCATTCGGCTTGATCACCTCCTCTACTAGACTTGTTCGACCTGTACAGGCGTGCATAGGGCTGTCACAATGGCTCGTTGTTCGCAAACAGCTCGTTCACTAAGTTAACGAGTCGAACACGAACAAAGATTTGTTCGTTCGTGTTAGAATCGTTTTGGCTCGAAATAATACTCATAATATATATATATTCCCAAATATATATATATATATATATTGATGATTAGTATTTTTTAAAAAATTCATTGCCTACAAGGCTGCAAAAGTTATAATCACTTAAAAGTATTAATTAAGAAAATAGAATAAAAATTATTAAATGTTTTAATATAAACAATAATTTTTAAATCTTGAACCAACCCTTAACATCTTAAGGCTACATGATTAGGGTTTTCAAAATGACTCTTTGTTCGTGAATAACTCGTGTTCGACTTAACTCGTGTTCGACTCGAACGAGTCGAACACGAACACACTTTTTGAGCTCGAAATATAAATGAGCGGAACTCGAGCTGAGCCTGGGCTCGATCTTGTTCGGCTCGTTTAAACCCCTAGGCATGCACTGTGCCACTTCTGCTAGGCTCTGTCGAAGCCTTTATGCATGCAAGGAGACTCCTTTTTCATCTTGCTCTTCTTCCGTGCTCACCTCCTTTGCGCTCGCACGTCATGAGAGCTTCTTCTCGCTTCCTATGCACGACACCGATGCCGCTTGCCTGACACCGACAACGCCTTCTCTATGCTCGACAAAGGCATCGTCATTGTTGCCTATGGCTACTGAGAAGCCCTAACTTGCACCTGTCAATCCTCCTGCTTTTGTCTCATGTCGATCGTTTCCCACTCGACAATTTATAGGACAAACTAACCTCTTTGAATTCTGACCCTCTCGTTTTCTCTCCCCTTCCTTCAACTCCCTCTGCTTCAATTCTACTTTCTCTTCAACTTCCCCGTGGAAAAGAAACGAAGCATCACAAAAAAATACCAATTTTTTAACTTCTAAAAGTGAGATACACTTTTTCATGTATATGTAAGGTAGCATATATATAAAAAATGAAGTTTAGGTGTTAGCTATGTAAATATGTAGAAATTGAGTGTTATGCATGGAAATCTTCTTTTTTCATTAGCTTTCTCTTAAACATGAATTGACGAATCAAATATATAAGAATATGGTGCATTTTCTACTAGTGGTGAGCAGAATTTATTATCATTTGGTTGGGAGATAGTAACTTAATTATGGCAAGTAACTTTTTGTATAATTTGTATATATGCTGAAACATGAACCTTCTTCACCTGACAGGAACTACCTTTTCTTTTTAAAAAAAAAATTCATGCCCTTCATAGGCTCTTGCTCATCAGCGGCAAAAGTATTTGTTTGATCTACTTTTTTTTAGGACATACAGACAACGACTGATAGGCCAACTTCTTTCTTCTCATTATTGTTTCAGGTGCACCCTTATGAAATTTTCAGCTTGGATAGGCTTGATGAGCTTGACACGTCATCGGCAGTTCATCAAGTTGTTGAAAATGTGCAAGATGAGAACTCTCGGGATGTCAAATGGCAAGAGAATGAGGTCTAGTCTTCCACCCCTGAATACCTCGCGTTTTCTCTCTTACTTCACCTCTTTGTCTATCCCTATCTTAGAGATGTAAGTAAGCTGTATATATTTTATTTACTTCCTTCTGAAGTTTGAAATTGGCATATTCTATTGAAGGTTGAAAATGATTCCAATGGAGATTTCAAAAGAGGCTTGTGGGATGCTGGTTTCCTTTCGCTTCCTTTAGTGACATTTAGATTCCTTACAAGCGTTGCTGAGCGGCTATTCAGCATAGGTGGTTCTTCCAGTCCATCCTTCCAAAAATTGAGGGATTTTAACTGTCTTGGTAAAATAGGTGAATTTTCTTTATCACCGCGTTCCTCAATGACTAGATTTAATTTTCAGGCAGTTAATTGGAATAGTCCCCTTGCACTGCATATTTCAGATATTAACGTTCCATCACTGGGTGGTGAAGGACTGCAATTTGAAGACTGGAAGGAGGTAGTAAAATGTGAAGAAGAAGAGAATGGAAGACCAGCATTTACTGTTGGTCGTGAGAGACCAGAGCGATTTAAACATTTTGATAGTGTGTTTGACTATTTGGACCATCGTTTTGCAAATTGTTTTAGCAAGAATGTCACAGCGTACCAGGCAAGCTGGTTACTTGTTACTTGATGATTTTTCGTAGCATCTATTTCAGCAAGCATGTGAATTGCTTTTCGGGCTTTCAGGTTAAGAATGATTGGCTGAAAAAGGTGCATCATGAATGGAGCATTCTCAAGAAAAACCTACCTGGTTTGTTCAAGTTTTGTTTATTTGTTTGTTTGTTTTATTTATTTATTTATTTTTTGTATCGTTCAATCAAGATTGGAGCATTTCCCATATCACTTGATGCAAGTTCTAAAAAATACTCACATGGCTCTTCATGGGCTTAGACGTCGTTCTTTCTTGACAAGTTTGTTTGTTGAATTTTTGAATAGGTAGATTTGAGTTTAGATAAGACATTGGCATAGGCTTTGAAAATTCATGTCCTGGCATCCTTTGAAATGAGATGAGAGTTTTCTTTAGATTTTGTGTCAAATTTAAGTAGGCAAATTAGGTTATGGAAAAGACACTACCCAAAGATTTCACTCTCATTTTATAAAAATTCCAAGATCTTGGGTTCAAAGTTTCTCATAGGTGCAAGTCCTCCCTAATGGTTAATTATATCTTTTGATAATAAGAGAGCATTTTCAATTAAAGCTAATTAATGGCGTGCTGATCACAATGTGTATGGTAGCGACAATTTAATGTTTTATATTGAGAAATTTATTATCGTGAGTTTTGAGCAGATATTAAAGGGAATGATGATGAACCTGTTCAAGATTCAATGGTTTTGTTGACTAGGTTTGTTTTGTACTCTAATATATTTAGTCAAAGAAGGTAATCGATCGAACTGGATCGAAGGTTCCCTATCGATAGCTATGAGTTGATTCATCTAAGAGAGCCTTGTAGACATGGGGTAAAAGTTTGTCTAAAGGAACTAATTCAAGTTAAATTTAGCTAATAGATAATTTTTTGCTCAATCGAATATACTCTACGATGCACAAATCAAAAGGATAGAAAATTATTTGGGAATATATGAGCTATAACAGTGACCATAATATAGTAGAGTTGTTGGATTAAATCACTCAGTGGCAATTACTATATCTATGGAGTCGTTTGATCAAATAACGTGGATAAAAGACATGGCCATATTCTTATTAATGCAGACTATTTTAAGCATGAATATAGTTCTATGCTTAATGGGATATTAGCTATTTATAAGCTTCAGCTGATGTCAAAGATATCACCCTCAATAAACAATTCTGGAGGTTGGATTGACATGTGGCTATGGGGGCCGACCTATTCTTCGTTCAACTTGGCTGGACTGGTTGGTCCTCAAGGGGTTGCCGTCCATGCTCCCCCTTCCTCTCCTTTTCTTTCCTCTCCTTTTCTTTCCTTTTATTTCCTTTCCTTTCCTTCCTTCCTAGCACTTTTCTATTATAAGCCCCTTCCAAATCTGAAATCTGATTATTTTTATTGAAATATGAAATCTAAAATCTTTCCTTTCCAATTCCGAATTTCTATTATTTTTATTAGTCTTTGCTCATTTTGAATTCTTCCTATTATAAACATTACCAAAATTATGATTTCTTATTATTTTTATTCTATTCCTTATTTTAAAACATTGCCTAAAATAATTCGTAAGCCTCATTATAAATAAGAGGTGGTATGATTGGAGTTTCTCTGTTTTGAGTTAAGTGATTTCTGAATTCTTCGTAAGCCTCATTATAAATAAGAGGTGGTATGATTGAAGTTTCTCTGTTTTGAGTTAAGTGATTTCTGAATTCAAATTACTGTCATCGGCGTTGCTCTCTTCAAGGGTTGTATCCAAAGACGAGGAAGTGCTTCGGTTGTCCCTTGTCCTAAGTGGTGACCGTCTCCAAGAGTCTGAGTGGTGCTTCGACTGTAGCTCGACCCCGACGAGGCATTTATCTACTGTACTTTCGTTTACCAGCTTTCATTTCATAATCCAGCTACTGCAACCCCCTCTTCCACTTTTTCCAACCACCTTCCTGCTTCTGTTTAGCCACCTTCCTGCTCCCATCCAGCCGCCACAACCCGTCTTCTCTTCCACTGTTGCCAACCCCGCTCCTTCTCTCAGGACTCCTTCCAGTTGTTGTCTACCTCGTCGACCACCTACCAGCAGCCCTTCCAACTCTTCCTTGCCTTTGGCCGGCCCTCCCAGCAACCTGCCATCCTTGTTGCCCCCTCCGGTTCCTTTATAGCAGGTCGTCGATCCTCTCCAATTCCTTCAAATCACCTGTTCGCCTCCTCGCAGCTGTCATCAGCATTCCTGGTCTTTTCCCTGTGGCCGCCAACACCGTTGTTCTATCCTCCTCCTTCCTTACCCATTGTAGAGAGTTTTTTATGTTTTATATTATTACCTTTTCCTTAGTTTCAACCGTCCTCATTTTCATTTATTGTTTACCAGTGCTATGTTATTTCCTGATGAAGTGTCATCATTCTAACCTTGTGGCATCCCGTAATAATTGTTGCAACTTTGAGTTGTGGTTTGGGTATTCCTCCGGTATCATGGATGGAGAATGCTCTTAACTTATTAATAATATTGTGGTCTACAAATATTTGGTGTTGGCTTACATTGAAGTAATAAATGAATGAGTGACTCTTACATTAGTATTTCGGGTCAAATTTTCAATAGCTAGATGACACTATAAATAAGACATTATATAGAGATTTTACTCTCATTCTGTGAGGATTTTTAAGATCTGAGGTTCGAGATTTCTTATAGTTGCAATCCCGTGTCTCTCTTGATAATGACATAACACTCTCAATTCATGCTAGTCATTAAAACACATTATTTGGTATATAGTAGCAACAATTAGGATTTTAATTTATAAATTTGTCACTATGAGTTTGGAGTAGAAGATGGGAATGATGACGTACCTGTTAAGATTATATGGTTTCGTTGTCCCGTGTTGTAGTAGTCATTAATCTACTTAAAGGATACAATTGACCTTACTTGATAAAAGAATCACTGTCAGCAGTCATGAATTGCTTTGTCCAATGAAATCTTGTAACATGAGGTGTATATTTATTCAATAGGATTAATTTAAGTCAACTTATAGAAGGCTTTGCACCTCATGAGGTATATCATATGATTTACAACTCGAAGAGATGGGAAATAATTATGGAACATACAAGCTACAGTCGTGTTCATAATATAATGGAGTCTATTTGCTAAATCACTTGGTTAGAGTGTTTTGATTGTAATCGAATTTTGTTCGGGTTAGCAGGTTGAAGGCGATTCAAGTTCAGGTTAGACTTTTTGACCTGTTTAATAATCAAGTCGGGTTCGGGCCAAGCATTTTTAGGTCGAGTCAATTTTGGGTCAAATCTGAACCTTAATCATGAAACCGAATTGACACCCCTATTTGACACCAAACGTTTAATGTAAGTAGTAAAATTTTTTTTTTATATATAAAAATTATTTGCATTTAGATAAACTCATTCAAAATTCATAGATACATCATTATTATAGTGGACCTTGGTCTATTTAATTAAATGAGAGAGTTGACTCAACTAGTTACAAGAATGTTTATTAGCATGTATGAGTTGCATCATAAAAACTTGTAAACTTGGGATATCTATTTGTCGGAGGGGACAATTTTAAGTTGACTTTAGCTAATAGCCACTCTTCACCTATTTGAAGATTGGGATTACGATTTATATATAATTTGAATTTTTGTTTGAAATTTTATTGCTTTAGAGGCCTTGTTAATTCGAGCTCTATACATAGAGGTTCTAGTTTTTAGATTGCAAGCATTATTGTATTTCATACATGTAATGATAGCAAGTGTTTTTTATCTTAAAATATGTGTTTTTTAAAAAAAGGCCTTAAAGGTCATATGTATATACAAACAATGACTACAAGTCTTTTATAGCGCTCAGTGCGGCTCATGTGTAAATGAAAGACTAAATATTTTTAGAAAATTTCATAGTTGAATATAAAATATATTGTCCAAAATGATGTTAATATTATGTTTGATTGTAAGAGAAATATTTGAAATCTTTTTTATATATACAATTTTTATCAACTCTTGACACCCATATTGTGGAGGATCAAATTTTCAAAATGGGATTTAAGGTCCTTCCTTATAGGTTGGGTAGCCTATCCAAAAACATTGCACGCATGCGGATGACTTTTTTATCTTGAAAAGATGGTTAGTAAAATTTCAAAACGGTTTCATGATTCTTTAAAGTAATCACATGATTCTTATGGTGAGAAAATTTGAAGGGAAATTTACATACCTAGCACACAATTCTTATGTCCTTACATATCTGACACCAAAATTTTAATATTTACATACAACCAATATCGAAGAGACGAGAGGAAGAAGGTTCTCGCGCGATCTGTTGGATCTAGCCGATATCGAAGAAGGTAAGGTTTTGTGCGGGATAGGTAGATCCAATAAATGCTATATATTTAGATTATAACATCTTCTTCATATTGGTAGACAGGAAAATATGCATATTAAATAGATACACAGTGAATTTCTCATAAGGATATTAGATCATTGAATGGCATTAGATTATAGTAGAGGTGCATATAAATTAGTTTATTGCATGATATGTAATTTAATGTAGAAATTTTATAGCATATCATTACATGACTTTTAGAAAATAATCATGTACAATCAACTGCATAATGATTTTTCTATGAAGTTATTAGACCAGTGCATCATGTACAATCAACTGCATAATGATTTTTCTATGAAGTTATTAGACCAGTGCATCATGTACAATCAACTGCATAATGATTTTTCTATGAAGTTATTAGACCAGTGCATGTCATTTTGATGCTAGTAAACATGCACTAAGGAGTTCCCCCTAATGGTACAAGCAAGGGACGTCACTGTATCCACATGTATAGATGTTTTTATACCACCCCAAATAAATTTGTTGTTAGATCACTAGTTGTTGGTCGACTGGAGGATATCGACTAAGGGTGGGTTGACAGATCTTATCATCCCAGACAATTGTAGTGTTTAGATCGCTAATTGTTGTGTCGATGAGAGAATTTCGGTCATGGGCAGGTAAGAGATTTTCCACCTTGGACAGTTGTGATGTTTAAATTGTTAAGCACTGTGCCGACAGGATAATATCAGTCAAAGATGTGTAAAGTTATGTTTTAACGGTGCTCCTAAGAAAGATGTGAATGTATAACATTAAGTAAAAGTAAAATTAAGATG